GGGGGGTGTGGGGAGGGTGTCTTGCCACCATGGAGGGGGGAGGGGGTCCCTCCCGTCCCACTCGTGGGCTGCGAGTGACTGTGGGGACCCCATCAGCGCATCTTCTCCGGGGAGGAAGGAGGAGGAACCCCTCGGGTGGGTGGAGGAGGAGGAGGAGGACACAGTCGCCCATCCTCAGCCCAGAGGGTCCACGTGGACCTTCTCTGCCTGGTGACGCTCAATTGGGCCACAACAACCCCCGGCGTGGCTACAGGTGGCCGGAGAGCGGCCGGTCAGAGAGGGACTGGGGGGTTAATCTCGTGGCCAGAGAAGGGCAACGGAGCTGGGGCAGGGTCTGGAGCACTGGGCAGCGGCTGGGGGAACTGGGGGAGCTGGGAAGGGCCAAGGGGAGGGTCATGGTTGGGCTGGAGGAGCTTCAAGGGCTTTTCCAAGGCGGGTGATGCTGCGAAATCTCTTTGCCGTGGCCTTTTCCTGTGGCCTTGTGCCCCGTGAGCTGCATCAGTGTGAGGTTGTTTCCTGGGGTCACCCCCGCCCTGTTGCGGTACCCCCTGGAGCCGCTGAGCAGCCTCAGAGGGTTCACAAGAACTTTGGCCAAGGTTTGGCCCCTCACTAAGGTTTTGGCTCTCGGTTCCTCCAGGCGACGGGATGGCGGACGGGAAGGAAAACGGCCTGGAGGAGGTGGAAGGGGCTGAGCTGGTTTGGGACCTGTCGGAGGTGGTCATCCCCCCAGAGCCGAGCCCGGCGGCGCAGCGCGAGGCTGAGACTCAACCCCAAGGCTCTGAAGATCCAAACGCCACCACCCACGGGCGCCCATCGCGGAGGAAGGGCGGTCGTGGGAGGCGTTCAACCGAGAAACCCTACGGCCGCAGTAAGAGCGGGGTCACCCCGGAGCCCCCCTATAGCTGTTTGGAGTGCGGGAAGATCTTCAGTCGGAGGTCCTTCCTCATCCCCCACCAGCGCATCCACACGGGTGAAAAACCCTTCACCTGCCACGAGTGCGGGAAGGGTTTCCGGGTTGGGTCGGCTCTCAACAAGCATCAACGGATCCACACGGGCGAGAAACCCTACAAGTGCTCGGACTGCGGGAGGCGTTTCCGCCTCACCTCCACCCTCAGCGCCCATCGGAAGATCCACACCGGGGAGAAACCTTACGTCTGCCTCGTTTGCGGGAAGACGTTTCGGTTGAGTACGTATCTGGTGGCCCACGAAGCCACCCACAGCTTGGACAATCCCTTTCGGTGTCTCGCGTGCGGGAAGAGCTTCAGCTTGAGACGGTACTTGGCCATTCACCAGCGGATCCATACGGGAGAGAAACCGTTCAAGTGCTCGGTGTGCGGGAAAGGCTTCAGCCGGAGATCGATCCTGATCGTTCACCAGCGGGTTCACACCGGGGAAAAACCCTACAAATGCCCCGAATGCGGGAAGAGCTTCATCATGAGTTCAGACCTCGTCGCCCATCGGAGGATCCACAGCGGGGAGAAACCCTACAACTGTCTCAACTGCGATAAAAGCTTTCGGCTGAGCTCCCACCTTACGAGACACCAGCGAAGCCACACCGGGGAGAGACCGTATAAGTGTCTGGATTGTGGGCAAAGCTACACAGACAGCTCCGGCCTCATCAAACACAAGAAGGTCCACGTGCGGAAGAAGCAAAGGACATCTCCGGGAGCCCAGCCGGGGGAGGGACGTTATAAATGTCCCTATTGTAGCAAGAGCTTCCACGCCAAGTCAACTCTGGTCCTTCACCGGGCCACCCACGTCGGAGAGAGACCCTATAGGTGCTCCAAGTGCGAGAAGAGCTTCAGGCACAGCGCCACCCTCCTGAAACACCAACGGATCCACACGGGGGAGAGACCCTTCAAGTGTCCCGACTGCGACAAGTGCTACAACGATGGCTCAACCCTTCGGAGACACCGGAGAAGCCACACCGAGGAGAAACCCTTTAAGTGTCCCACTTGCGGGGAATGTTTCGGGGCCGTCGAGGCTCTCCTGAAGCATCAGCGGTTCCACACCGAGGGGAGGCCTTACAGATGTTCCGACTGCGGGAAAAACTTCCAGTCGAATTTTCTCCTCGTCACCCACCGCCGGATCCACACG